ACCACTCTTCAGAAACCTACGGGTGACGTCACGGACACTACGTCCATGTTTTTATACAGTCTATGGTTACAACTCAGGGGTTGTGAACACGTTGTGAACATGACTCAAATAGTTTCAATTTTTTATGCAATTATTATTCCAGAAAATGGAGATTTGTGACCCTGGAGCACAAAACAAGTCATAAGTAGCATGGCTATATTTGTAGCAAAAGCCAAAAATACATTGTATGGGTCAAATTGATCAATTTTTCTTTTATGCCAAAATAGGATATTAAGTAAAGATAATGTTCCATGAAGATATTTTGTACATTCCCTTCCGTAAATATATCAAAACTTAATTTTTGATTAGTAATATGCTTTGCTAAGGACTTCATTCGGACAACTTTAAAGGCGATTTTCTCAATATTTGGGTTTTTTTGCACCCTCAGATTCCAGATTTTCAAATAGTTGTATCTCGTCCAAATATTGTCCTATCCTAAAAAACCATACATCAATGCAAAGCTTATGTATTCAGCTTTCAGACGATGTATAAATCTCAATTTCAAAAAATGTACCCTTATGACTGGTTTTGTGGTCCAGGGTCACATTTGTCAAATCATCAACTGATTAGTCAAATCAGATTTCAGGGCCCGTATTCACAAAACATCTTAAGGCTAAAAGTTGCTCATAACTTACAGATTTAGGAGAAAATCTTAAAAATAATGGGCATGTCGTATACTATACAATTAAAATTTTTATTTGCGATTAAACGCATGATTGTCTGTGATTCATCACGATTAAAAATTTTAATCGTTGCCCAGCACTAATATATATATATATATATATATATATGTATATATATATATATCCTTAATAACCTTTTTTTATATAAAATCAATAAGGTTACAATTAAGGGGTTGTGCTGTGTGTTGTACCCAACAATGCCCTTTAGCGTTCAATATCTATTTTTACATTTTACATACTAAAAAACACTAATCAGTTAAATAAAAGCTACTAAACTATTTCACATCAATAAATAAGAAAAAATATTTTGACATACCATAATCCCCTGCACCTGTGATGTGAAAAAAAAAAACATAAATTAAAAAAAAATTATTAATTAAGAACTATTACATTTATCAATTTCGATAAAGGTAAAAAATTAATTTGGCTTACTGTTGTGCCCTTGTAATGCTGAAATATGAAAACAAAGACATGCATATATCTTGCATATATTTAGAACATTTAAGACAAGGGATGTTTACATTTCTGACCACTTTACACATACAAATGCATTTTCATATTCATAAAGCTTACACAAAAAATTACACACATCACCTTTACTAAAAAAGCTTGCTACAATTATTCATTAAAACATGCAGTAAACATTCTCAACAAAATAAGGGAGTCTTTATCATCACTGTTCCCTCTCATTTTTTTTCTTTGGGCGGACATTTCGGGCACCAGAGCAAAAACATTCTTTATACCCTGCACTGCGCACACAAACAAGTGTGTAACTTTTAACTTGAATGTGCTATTTATATTTGATTTGACCCTTGATGTACCTAAAGGATGTTTTTTTTTTTTTACAATATAATACACTGCCGTTCAAAAGTTTGGGATAAGTAAAGTTTAAAGAAGTTTCTTATGTTCATCAAGGCTGTATCTATTTGATAAAAAATACTAAATATTATTTCACAAAATAAAAAATAATATTGAAATATTATTGCAATTTAAAATAAAAGTTTTCTATTTTAATATACTTTAAAATATAATTTATTTATGTGAAGCAAAGCTGAATTTTCAGCATCATTACTCCAGTTTTCAGTGTCACATGATCCTTCAGAAATCATTCTAATATGCTGAATTATTATCAGTGTTGAAACTGTTGTGCTGCTTAATATTTTTTGGGACCTGTGATATTTTTTATTTAAAAAAAATATATATTTAAAAAACTGTGAACGTGAATTCTTATATAGCTATCTAAACACCTCTGTGAAGTACAGTTTGCACAAAACACCTGTGTGTGACTATAAATGTGTGACTGTAAATTGTTACCGTTCTGTGCCCATCATCCGCTATTTCCAGCACTTAATAAATAGAAATTTTGTGTTACAATATACACTACTATTCAAAAGTTTGGGGGTCAGTAAATTTCTTTAAAAATCTAAAAATCTTTCTTTCTTTTTTTTAAAGAAATTAATACTTTTATTCAGCAAGTATGTGTTAAATGGACAAAATTGATAGTAAACACTTATATTGTTAGAAAAGATGTCTATTTTGAATAAATGCTGTTCTTTTTAATGTTTTATTAATCAAATAAAAAAGTATCACAGGTTCCAAAAAAAAATATTAAGCAGCACACAGTTTCACTGTTGTAAATCAACATATTAGAATGATTTCTGAAGGATAATGTGACACTGAAGACTGTAGTAATGATGCTTAAAATTCAGCTTTGCTTCACAGGAATAAATTATATTTTAAGTATAGGTATTAAAATAGGAAACCAATATTAGTAACCAATTATATATATATATATATATATATATTCTGTATTTTTGATGAAATAAATACAGCCTTGATGAGGGTCAATTATTTATTAGGTTTATAATATATGCCTAACATAATATAATATGCTATAATATCAAAACAAACTGAAGCATTTAAACTGATAGAATAGAATAGAACAGAATAGAATAGAATAGAACAGAAAACAAACTGAAGCACAACTTAAACTGAGATCTGCAAGTTATATATATATATATATATATATATATATATATTTAAAAAACTGTGAACGTGAATTCTTATATAGCTATCTAAACACCTCTGTGAAGTACAGTTTGCACAAAACACCTGTGTGTGACTATAAATGTGTGACTGTAAATTGTTACCGTTCTGTGCCCATCATCCGCTATTTCCAGCACTTAATCAAGCCACTCTTCTTTAATACATGATGACGTTTTATTTCACATGTCATTGCGTTTGAGTTGTCTCTCGTGTTGAGCTATTTCATCCGCAACCATTGAAGTATTCGGTTTCCACAGCGACTCATTTGGCGCACACCATTTTCTTTCTATGAAACTTGTCAACCGCATTGACCGGCTCTAACTCTATAGCGATATCAACTCTATAGCGGTTTGCCAGAGCATTGCAATTCTTTTGCTTTTACTAGAATTCAATCAAAGAGGGAACATTGTTTATCATTGAAAGCCAATAATAAACCAAATTATTATCATGATTTTGTAGCCTATAAGGACATATGGGTGGTTGTCTCTAGGTTACGCATGTAACCATGGTTCACAGAGGGAACAAGACGCTGTGTCAAAACACTTTGGGAATGCCTTCAGCATGACCACACTCTGAATCACGTGTGTAATCAGTCCAATGGATGGGCGAGACGTCACGGGCAGGGTGACGTGAAGACCAGGAAGCTTAAAAGCATGTACGGTGGATATAGTGGCAGCTTCTGGTAGAATGAGGGAAGCGCTCGCAGGGATGCTGGACGTATGGCAATGAGACGCAGCATCTCGTTCCCTTGGGGAACCATGATTACATGCGTAACCTAGAGACGTTCCCCTTCAGGAACTCGAGCTGCGTCGAAACGCTTTGGAAACGAGTATGCCCACGCCGCCAGACTTTCAAATACCTGCCTAGTGTGGAAGAGCACAACTAAGGCGAGAGAACAGAGGAGCTGGGAGTGGCATGAATATCGAGGTCATAGAACCTCACAAAGGTGAGCGGCATGGACCAGCCCGCAGCGTTGCAGATGTCCTGCATAGAAACACCTGACAGGACGGCCTTGGAGGCCACCACACTTCTAGTGGAATGAGACCCTTCTTAGGGGAACCATAGCACACTAGCAGTTGGTCCGACCTTCTCCACAGGGCAGCTCTGTGGAGAAGGTCGCCAAGCCATGCTCGCCAAGCCGGACCCAAAGTCTAAATAAGAGGGGGCCAACGTCTTGATAGAGGAGATAGTGAGAAAGCGATCAGAAATCCCTTCAATAGGCTCGAAAGGAGGTTTACAGGGAGCCTCTCGCACCACAGCCAAATCCCACTGTGGGACACAAGATCATACCGGAGGCCTCAGTGCACCGCGGAGGAAATGTGTAACTAGGGGGTTTCTGCCCACAGACTGACCACCAAGAGGGGCGTGGTAGGCCGCTATGGCCGCTACGTAGACTTCCAAGGTGGAGTGGGTCAACCCTTCAGAGAAACGGGTCTGCAGGAACTCCAGCACTGAACCAACCGGGCAGTTAACAGAGTCGAGCTAGCGGTCTCCGCACCAAGAAGTGAAAAGCTTCCACTTCAAGGCGTACAGTTTCCTAGTGAAGAGAGCTCTGGATTGGAGGATGGTCTCAACAACCTCAGTTGAGAGGCTATGAGTTGTGCCCCCTCAGGGGCCACACCCAAAGCTTCCACAACTCCGGGATGGTGCCCCCCCGCCTGTGAGAGGAGATCCCTCCTGATGGGAATGTACCATGGAGAGCCACAGCGCTCCACAGTCTGCGGGCTGGGAGGCCACTCATGGCCGCTCCCCAACCAGTGAGGGATGCATCCGTCGTTAGCGTTATGCATCGACAAGGAGCTCCCAGCACCGGGCCCTGTGACAAGAAGCAAGGATTCCTCCACATGTCTAAGGCACGAAAGCATCGCAGCATGACCTTGATCATGGGAAGTGGATTTCCCCTCGGGGAAAACCCCTTGGTCTTGAGCCACCACTGTAGGGGTCTCATGTACAGCAGGCCAAAAGGTATCACATTGAACGCAGCTGCCATCAGACCCAGCAGTTTTTGAAACTGCTTGACAGTGAGTGACCGGCCTTCTCCCACTCTCACGACTGCAGTGAGGATTGACTCGATCCGAGCAGGAAACAGATGTGCCTTCATCATGGTCGAATCCCACACCACGCCCAGATAAGTGGTCCTCTGTAATGGAGAAAGCACACTTTTCTTGGCGTTTACTCTTAACCCCAACTTTCCCATATGGGCGAGAACGACATCTCGATGTTGAACCACCGTCTGCTCTGATTGAGCTAGAATCAACCAATCATCTATATAATTTAGTATGCGGTTGCCCTGTAGTCGCAGTGGAGCTAGAGCAGCATCCACACACTTTGTGAAAGTGTGGGGTGAGAGTGCTAGGCCGAAAGGAAGAACTCGATATTGGTAAGCTTCGCCCCTGAAAGCAAACCTCAGGAACTTCCTGTGTTGGGGAAGGATGGAGACATGGAAGTATGCGTCTTTTAGATCGATTGTGACGAACCAGTCCTCGGACATGATCTGAGACACGGCTTGTTTGAGTGTGAGCATCCTGAACTTCAGTCGCATTACTGAGCGGTTCAACTGATGCAGATCTAAAATGGGACGCAACCCTCCGTCCTTCTTTGGAACGATGAAGTACCAGCTGTAGAACTCGGACTCTCTGTCGAGAGGTGGGACCACCTCGATGGCCTCCTTCCTCAAGAGAGTGTTTACTTCTTGTTCCATTACCAGAGCCTGCTCAGGGCCCACCAGAGTGGGAATCACCCCGTTAAAACGAGGCGGAGAAGAACCAAACTGAATGCAGTAGCCTTTTTCTACAGTGTGCAGGACCCATTGAGACACATTTGGCAGACGCTTCCACGCTGCCAAATAGTCTACTAAGGGAATCAGTCTCTCGAGACTGACCTTTGGTGTTATTAGAGCGGTTAGCTTGGTGCCCTAAAGCGGAGGACTGGCAGGGGACGGACGTTCTAGCTGCTCTAGAGACCTCTGTGGAGGTAGCGAGCCTCCCATTACCGCTACGTTCCCGGGCGGAGACTGAGAGAAGCGCTTGCTGGAGCCCGCTGTGCCCTGAAGCACCGGAGGTGGCAGGGTTGACAGACCGATCTCCTGAGGGCACTGAGGAGAGACGGGCACCGTATGATGAGGTTTACATTACTCTTCCCCAGAGGGGCCTGCCCTCAGAAGCCATGGAACACTGAAATCAGGGCTGACATGTACCCTTTGCCCACCAGCGCTGAGGTGGTCCGCAGCGGCTTGAAGGGCAATGCCGGGGCCTTCAGGGATGATGCCGTGCCAGGAGACAGATAGCTCCCGAGGCATCGCCCTGTAACCGCGATCATTCAGCCCCACCACATTGGCATAGTGGCTGGACGAGGGACTGAATATCCAGGCCGAGAAAGACTTCGCCCACAACTTCAACACCTCGGTGTGGAGGTCGGGGAAAAACGGGAGGCCCCAGCGTGGAGGTGGCGGATTTGCTTTTCAAATTCATCGAATTTGCTTTTTGGTGGTTCGGTCTGTTTCTTGGCGGGCCACTCGACTTCATTCAACTTGGCCACAGCGTGAGTAACCACCTCCAGAAGCTCGTCATACTGGGGAGAATGAGGGGGTGAGTCCCCAGCCTCATCAACGTTCTCGACATCAACCTCCTCGGAGGAAGACAGGCGAAGTGTTGAGCCCTCTCCCCGGGGGGGAAGAAACTGCAATGCGGGCTTCCGATCCCTGAGAGAGAGCGCTGAATCTGGTGGGTGAGGAAGAAGAAAGGGACTCGCTTGTTTCCATTCCCTCCATCAGATCCATTTGCGAACCCCACAACCGCAACCGCCGCTCTGCCTCAGCAGAAACGGGGACAGTGCCGCGAGGAACGCTGGCGAAGGCTCCTTCCTCAAATAGAGCCTTCCAAAGCGTACGGATCGACAAACGCTCGCAATGCGGGCAGTCAGCTCCCTCGAGCTCCCTCGAGACTCCGCATGCTTCGCTACCAAGCAGTCAACACACAGACTGTGTGTATCCCCACCCGTAATGTAGTGCGGGCAGGGAGGAACACACAGCCTATAATGCTGCCTGCTCTCGCCCTTATGTTTGTCTTTGGCCTTAGGCATGCTTGTGAACTCGATGGTAGACAAACAACAGTAAATAAGACAGACAAACAGAGTTTCAGACTGACACACCACAGAGCGCTTGCTGAATGACAGAAGCTGCCGCTGTATCCACCGCACGTGCTTTTAAGCTTCTTGGTCTCTACGTCACCACGCCCGTGACATCTCTCCCATCCATTGGACTGATTACACACGTGATTCAGAGCGTGGTCATGCTGAAAGGCGTTCCCAAAGTGTTTCGACACAGCTCGAGTTCCTGAAGGGGAGCAATATGATTCTGAGACCAAATGCAAGTAGAAAAAAACAAAGCAAAACAAAGCAAAAAAACCCCCCTGAAAATACTGTTGAATAACTTAAATTTGTTATGCACTCCCACAAATCGGCAACATTTCAGTCAAGCTAAAAACACCTGTGCAACATTTATTGTATTGCTCTATGTCAGAAGCTGTATCTTCTACTAACAGTATGGCACTTAATTAAAATATTTTTAGATAAATCCTTAATAAATGTCCTTAATAACCTTTTATAATTTTTTTAAATCAGTAAATTCACAACTAATGGGGATGTGCTAAGCATTGTGCCTAACAACGCCCTTTACTATTTAACATGCATTTGTACATTTTACATACTACTAAAAAACACTAATCAATTAAATAAAAGCTATTTCAATTCATTAAAAAATAAAAATATTTTGACATACCCGAGTCAAAATAATCCAAATAAACATGTCCCCTTTCTCCCTTTTCTCCCCTTTCTCCCTCTTTGGGTTTGTTGGCTACTTCCACGTCACCTTCCTGCGGCTTAGTGACAACCATAGAGGTGAGGTGAGTGACAAACTGGTATTTCATGAAGAGTTTGAGAGCTTCTTTTTTTTCATCCTCTTTCTCCTGTCCTTTAAGAAGCACCCTGAGACAGAAATAATGAGAGAAGACACACAGACATATGAGGTTTGCCATTAGTTTGCCTCTAAATTTGATTCCTTTTGTATGGAATTGTTCCTTCTTCCAGGCATATACACTTTTGATACTGATTTGATCTTGAGAATAGCTATATACAGTATATATACAGTGGGTACGGAAAGTATTCAGACCCCCTTAAATTTTTCACTCTTTGTTATATTGCAGCCATTTGCTAAAATCATTTAAGTTAATTTTTTTTCCTCACTGTCAAACGATTAATCACGATTATATTATATTATTGTTTACATAATATATGTATGTGTGCTATGTATATTTATTACAGTATTTATATATAAATACACACACATTCATGTATATACTTCAGAAAAATAGGTTGTTTATATATTAAATATATTTATTTATAATATTATATACCGTTTGACAGCACTAATATACATATATATATATATATACTGTATATATATGTGTGTGTGTGTGTGTGTGTGTGTGTGTGCGTGAGTGTGTGCATGTCTGTGTGTGTGTAAACATTTATAGACCCAAATGCATAAACTTACTGTCTCTCCAGAAGCTGCTTCACTGTAAGGTAGGCCCACAATCTCTGCATGAAATCTTCATTCTCAGGTGGGACATCACTGTGGTCTTTTGTCATTGTAGTGTCCTGATATGTCACATTACTGCCTTTCTACACGGAAATAATAACACTAATGAATATTTTTATTAGGAATGCTGTCAGTACCACTTTCGCCAAGAACTTTCTTTCAAAACAAAGTGGTCATTATTATAAACTCTATTATAAACAACTGGCCATCAATGATTGTAATATCAAATATACTGATTTGGACTGCTGAAAATTAAAAATACCTGCCCACACAATCCCTCCCCTAGTCCAATTTGATAAACATAGAGTGAAGATCTTACTGATACTGCGATGACTTCAGTGGTGAAACTCTCCACACTGTTGTCTGTGATTTGTCCTGACACCACAATCTCAGAGCCATTGAAGTACAAGCTAAAGCTGGTCTTGGTAAGGTTTGTCCCTACTGGGTATTTAAGTTGAATATCAGTGAGGAGAGGGACGGCAACTTCTTCATAGAAGCCCTAAAAATAAAACTAACTTTAAATGTGCTCAAAGACAGAACCGTTCAGCATTAAAGATGAATTCTCAGCTGATCATCTGTAGTTCACCTGCAGCTGTAGATCAGCGTCTGAATCTTCATAAATCCTGCAAGCAACTCCACCATTTTCCAGTGACATCTTTGTCAGGAACTCAAAGTTAACATCATATCCAAAACCAAGGCAATAGAGGGGAAACTTTGTCCCAATGGCCTTTTTCACATTGGCCATTATCTTCTCTATGTTGGTCAGACCTGTTTAAAAATCATAATTTGATGTTTTTGAGTTATTTGAGCGATCAGCAATGGATACTTTTTAGGCACTTTCATATTTCTTATTGTCTTTCTCTCATACTGAAAAAGACTGAAAAAAACGAATTGGTCATGATAATAATCCATTGGTCCTACAATTATTTCAATTAGGTCTAAAACCCTTTATAAACAGGTCTGCTAATAAACCCTGAATATTATAGGATGGCAATTAAAATGTTGTATTGATGAAGCATGGCTGACTGAATAAACATGATAAAACCCCGTTTAGCTTGTGTTTGTCAGTGTTTCTGTGCCTGAAGTGGGATCTCCGTCAGTCAGCAGGATCAGGATGGAGGCTGTTCCCTCTCGTGGATGTCGATTGATCATGTCCACTCCTGCTAGAACTGCAGCATTTATGTCCGTGGCTAAAGGAAGACCAAACATAGTTGTCACTGTGAGGTACAACTTTTTTACTCCTTATGTAGCATTAGTGCTGTAACTCACCTCCTCTATCTGTGATCTCATTCACGAAAGATTTCGCATTCTTCAGATTTGCCTCAGTAGCTTTGAGGAGCTCACGCTTCCATAAGTTAACTTCACTGTCAAAGGTGATCAATCCAAAGTGGTCATCTTCATCAAGATCACTCAAAATCCTTAGCAGTGCCAATCGAGTCTAAAGAATGACAGCACATCTGAAAGTTATTCTTTCTTCATTAAGACTGCATACTCACATTTAACAGACATGGACAGTTTGTTACTAATTTAGAACAACACCAAACTGATTTCAGTAGAGGAAATCAGAAGAAATCTTCTACAAGACTTTGACCATCCACCAGTCAGGGCTCTACGCTTACTTTTCTTTTTAGGAGCACTTGTGCTCCTAACTTAAAAAATGTAGGAGCACGTTCAAAATTTTAGGAGCACCTTCTAAACAATTATCCAAAATGTTATCAAAAAGTAGCCTTCCCATTACGAGGTGATATTTGACTCCTCTAACTTTATTAAAAGTATGTCATCTTTTGTCAAATTCTTAATAAAAAATATATATATTATAAGCTTTTTAAAAATTGCAATTAAAACGACAGAATAAGAACAAGTAGAATAAGAAATATAAGTTACCAATCAAATGAAATCAGTATTAACAAAATTAATTTGTAGAGGTGGCCCAGAACACAAAAGTGGCTTGGTGTACTTTCAGACATTTAATGAGGCTCAGAAGTGGAATGAGTGCAATTAAATCCATAAATTCATGATGATATGAATGTTTTAAATATAAAATTTTGAATATAGAAATATTAAATGATTTAAATAACTGAAAAGATACTTTTAAAATGAAACAAACTGCCAGCAGGTGGCGGTAAGTCACTGATTTTTATCACTGAATCATTCATTCAATTGATTCATTCGAACGGCTGATTCATTCAGGAATGAATCAAGTGACTGTCTTTATGAATGGGTAATCATGAATCACTGACTCACAAGATTTGTTTAAAAACGCAGTTCATTCATAAACGAGACACCGCTGTGTTTGAATGGAGATGCGCAGCGGCTGAGCTGTGACTTCTCGTGGATGTCGATTGATCATGTCCACTCCTGCTAGAACTGCAGCATTTATGTCCGTGGCTAAAGGAAGACCAAACATAGTTGTCACTGTGAGGTACAACTTTTTTACTCCTTATGTAGCATTAGTGCTGTAACTCACCTCCTCTATCTGTGATCTCATTCACGAAAGATTTCGCATTCTTCAGATTTGCCTCAGTAGCTTTGAGGAGCTCACGCTTCCATAAGTTAACTTCACTGTCAAAGGTGATCAATCCAAAGTGGTCATCTTCATCAAGATCACTCAAAATCCTTAGCAGTGCCAATCGAGTCTAAAGAATGACAGCACATCTGAAAGTTATTCTTTCTTCATTAAGACTGCATACTCACATTTAACAGACATGGACAGTTTGTTACTAATTTAGAACAACACCAAACTGATTTCAGTAGAGGAAATCAGAAGAAATCTTCTACAAGACTTTGACCATCCACCAGTCAGGGCTCTACGCTTACTTTTCTTTTTAGGAGCACTTGTGCTCCTAACTTAAAAAATGTAGGAGCACGTTCAAAATGTTAGGAGCACCGTCTAAACAATTATCCAAAATGTTATCAAAAAGTAGCCTTCCCATTACGAGGTGATATTTGACTCCTCTAACTTTATTGATCTCACATCTATAATCAACGAAGCTCTCTACACTGCGCAATGAATCTCTCACTTTGCTTATGAAAGGATTCGTGAGATATGTCTGTGATACATTACTCAACGCTGCAAAAACACGTAGAAACATTTGAAGCTCCCCTGAGCGCAATCACAAGTATGATGATGATCTGGTCAGTCGCACTGGTGCTCCTAAAAAAATGTTTATAGTCGCACGCAGTAGTTTTCAGTCGCAAATGCGACTGAAATGGTCGCACTGTAGAGCCCTGCCAGTATCCAATTAAATTTTTTACCTGTTCTATTTTTCTGCCGCTCATAGAACCACTCCGATCAATGATAAACACCACATTTTTGGAAATACGTGGAACATCAGAGGGGGCAAAGTAGTGGACGAAATAGCCATTTGATACCTGAGAGAACAGAAAAATTCCAGTCTTTCAAAATTTTTCTGTTTTTGTCTATTTTACTTTTTTAAAGCATGTTATTTAAAATGTACCATGACTTCTCCTTTGGGATTTCGTCTCTCCACATCGTATGTTATGAGCAGGTCACCATTCAACCCATTTTCTCCACAGCTTTTACACTTGGTCTGTTGATCTCGAGTGGGGTAGAAGGACACCCATGCCTGAAATGATCAGTTTGTTCATCTGGTAACTATTTAAGTGTATGAGCATATTGAGAACATCTAAGCTGTGCCCTTTTTCAGTTTCAGCACATGCCCCTCAAAAGGTCTGTGCACGGCCCTGGTCCTATTCATTTCTTCCATTAACCTTGAAGTCAGCCACAGGCTGCATCAGTTGGGCATTGATGAGTAGCTCATATTTGCCGAGGCGCCGCTTTAACAGTTTCTCGTAGGTCAACTCAAACGTCACTTTACTAAAAGCAGCCACTGTCACTGAGGTTTTAAAGTCCTCTAAAGTCCTTCCAACAGATCTGAAATGTAAACAAATCCCAGCATATTACTACACATACTACAAATACATATTTTATGGACCTAATTAAAAAAAAATTCCAGTACTTGACCAGTCCAGCACTTTGACCTCGAGATACTGCTTGACTGTATTGCTGCTGAGCTTCCTCTTTTTCCTTCACAACTCCATCATATGTTTTTCCCTCTATAACCCTATGGAGAAATTAAAAGACTAAACTGACTTAAAAGTGAATTTGTTAGCTATAGATGTCTTCAAACGAGCTTGCAGACACGCTCAGAACATTTGTAATTAAGAGTACTGAATTTCCCTACATTCTGAATTTGCTGATGAAGGCATTCTTGGGAATCTTGACCTCGAACTGGATCTCTTGAGATTCATTCAGTGTGTTCGCAACACGGCTTGTGATGACTGTTGTGGCGTAGCGACTGGTGACCGTGGAGTTAATGTAGAAGCTGTATATATCCACATTTTGTTTCTGTTGAGACACCAGAAGGTACACTCTAAAAAATGCTGGGTTGTTTCAACGCAATGTTGGGTCAAATATGGACTAACCCAACTGTTAGTCTAATTTTGACTATATTAATGACTAATTTTAACTGAAACCAGGAGGTTATCATTTTAACTTAACTGAGCGTAAGCAGCCGTTCACACACGTTCACACAACGCTGAGGAACGGGTAAAAACAATCGATTCACTGATTTGAACTTGATAGAGCGTCTTAAAGCGCATGCGCGAGATGCAGCTCAAAGATGCCGTATGCCGTACCGTGCATATTTACTGTACATGGAAAACAATTAAAAAGCAGCGTAGTGGAACACAAAAGCGTGTTATTTGTGAACGGCTCATTGAATTGTGCACACTTTTCGTGTGGGATTGTTTAAATATTTACTGCTCGTAAACACGGAGAAAAGGCCTTTGGACTAAAAGACAAATTCGACTACCTCTCAGTGTAAACTATTGAGAAATAGATAGTTTAGTAGAGTCTAATAGCGTTCAGTCAACAGTGGTTCTGTATCAACAGAGAAACCAAAAAGCTTTTACTTTGAATATTTATTTATTTATTTATTATTTTTTGTTAACTGAACAAGGAGTAAAATATCACACACATATGAACACAAGCATAATTGACAGAAAATACCTAAATTGTATTGGCTCAGATGAAGATGTTTATCTGGCCAAGAAGTAAGATGAAGTTCTGATTTTTATCTGATTGAGATTTTTATAACAGTACAGCAGACTTCTTATATAAAATACATATAATGCCAGTTATCATGCTATATCTTTCAATTATAGGCTATGTCTTAAGATGATATTGAAATGCTTAGTTTCATTATCAAAATCCTGTAGTTTCAGTTGTGGGCAAAATATATAATGCGATGCAATACAATGATGATTAAGAGATGAACCAATAAACATACCTCAAAAGCCTGTTGTATTTTATACGTACATTTTAACATGATTTTTTTTTCAACAAATGATGAATGATAATCAAGTAAACCTAAGAAACTTTGCCTCTATCTGATTTTGTACCCTAAACACATTGACTGATATGTTATTTGGCCCTCACCTTCTTAACAACACCTGAAGAGGCTGAGATGAGAAAAACACCCAAGAGAATCAGCCGGAGAGCTGCTCGATCCATCATGACCTGCACAGCAAACAGACCACACAGCCTTTAAGCTCATGTCCAATTCGTGCTATTGGCTATTATTGACCGGATAAAGAAACCTCCCCCTTTTTGTAAACTTGAACCTCACATAAAAGCATAAACATAAACTTAAAAAAAAAAAATAAGAAGTACAGTATATGAAGCACTTAGTGTATACATTGTGCTTTTTCTTTTTAAGATTATAGATGCTGTGCTTGTATTTTTGTGAGTTCTTACTTCTATCAGCATTTGATAAGCTTAATGTTAATTAAGTCTTAATGTTTCCCAGTTTCAGAATTTTCAAGTATTTTGAATTTTCCCATAATAAATGGACCTCAGTTATTGTGAATACATAAGTAAAAGCATTTTTTTTAGATGTATGTGTTTAATATATTTTGCTTTTAACTTTTTTAAGAATTCCACAATAGCATATTTTAGAAAAACACATTTTTTTAACTTCACTTTTGAATAGAGTGTCATCTGAGAGGTCGTCGAGGATAAATACATAACCAGCTTTGAGCTCAAGTTTTGCTTTGTGCAAACAGACAGTGCTGCATTATTATGTCTATCCCAAATGAGGAGTTATGCAATGTGGCACTCTGTACAGGCATTCACTATTATTGAGCACTTTCTGGCATGGTATCTCTATTTATATAAACTATGATATTATGCAATTCATTCTGTTTTATTTTTGTGCTATTCTATTCAGTGTTCTTAATAGGGACATAGGGAGGCTTTCACAGACAACAGACTTCCTTAACCCTATATAAAGCCTACTGTATCATATTTAATATGCAATTTTACAAGGCCTCTAAATTATCAACATGATGAAATTTTTGCAAGTAAAACACCTTTTATTCTAATTATAAAAATGTCCCCCTTTCAGGTTGTGGTACAGTCTTTTTGCTGTGAAATCCTTAATGATTCTTATAAAGTAAACGTGAGAATAACTTTTATATTGTTAGTAATATTTCAAGATGATCACTTATAGGACTGAAGCAACTTAGGTTTACTTGTTTATCCATACATCATTTATTAGAAAAATCATGTTAAAGTCAAGTCAAGTCACCTTTATTTATATAGCGCTTTTAACAATACAGATTGTGTCAAAGCAACTGAACAGCATTAATTAGGAAAATAGTGTGTCAATAATGCAAAATGACAATAGTAAACACTAATTTTTCAGTTAAAGACAGTTCATCATTGAATTCAGTGATGTCATCATCCAGCTCAGTTCAGTTTAAATAGTATCTTTGCAATCAAGTCAACGATATCGCTGGAAATGAAGTGTCCCCAACTAAGCAAGCCAGAGGCGACAGCGGCAAGGAACCAAAACTCCATCGGTGACAGAATGGAGAAAAAACCTTGGGAGAAACCAGGCTCAGTCGGGGGGCCAGTTCTCCTCTGACCAGACAAAACCAGCAGTTCAATTTCAGGCTGCAGCAAAGTCACATGTTCTGCCCGGACGATAACGCGGAGCCATATAGTTAATAATAGTAAAAATCATCAAGGATTGTTTATTTGTTCATCACTCAGTCATCATTGTATTGCATTGCATTATATGTTTTGAAACTACAGAGCTTTGATCATAAAAACGTAGTATTAAAATATCAGCTTACTAAGATGTTTTATTAGGAGACATAGAGTGACAACTGATATTCATGTGGATTTTTATATTCATATGCATTTTTATGTTTAAGTTGTCTGCTATACTGTTATAAGAGCTCACATATTTACATTAAGCTATCATAATTTTATCCGACATTTTGGCCATACAAATTGCCGATTAGTAACAGTACAAAACTGCAAATTTTTGCTCAGTTTGGGCCTCAAAAAATTGAGGTTTTGTAAAGAATATTACAAATATCAAGCTTTCCAGTGCTGAATGTTGGATTGTATCATATAATACTGTCTACAGGGGGCGCTTAGTGACTTCACTGTTAATATACTCAGGTCAAATGCCTCCTGACTGCACAAAAAAGCAATTTGAGTTTAAGTATATTTTTGTAGTAGCAATATAATCCAACTGTAAAAATGTATATGCTCTAAATGTTAAGATGTAGTGTTATGGTTGCTGAATAATGTTGTATAATGTTATAATGTTTAATAAATGTTGTAAACAATTATTAAAAAAAGAACAAGAACAAAAAAAAAAAACCTCTGCCTGTAACAAAATCATCAGTAAATATCCCCTCAATGTTCTTCTTACAGAAAATAAAAAGATAATTTTTAATGATTTCACAAAAAACACATAAACCATATACTGCAGTCTATTTAAGGCACCACTGTTATGTTAAAAGCATCAAATGAGCTCTTTGAAGAAGACAAAAGCATTTAATGAATGTGACTGGGCAGGTCTGAGAAATCCCTCTACCTTTTTTTTCAAAGTAGAGCTAAAAGAAGCGAAAGAATGCTAACCAACTTGTTTATTCAGATTTCTTTTTGGGCGTGTTCAAGAAAGACCCATCTAGCCATTAGACATTTCTAGAACAAGCACACAAAATATACATGTTCTTTATTTAATGTCCACCAACTTACGTTTATTGGTGTAATCAAATACAGTCAAGCTGATTCAGTCAAATTAAATGACATAATTTGACAATCTGATAAATCAAAGTTCTTTCATGTTGTTTTGCCTTTAAGCAGGACATTATAGTGAAAAAAAGTTTGCTGAAGAATACGTTATGCTAGTAAATATTTCTATATTTACATTTGGGACTCAATTTCTGTGCAAACTTTAAAGTCTTGATTACAAAATAGCTGTTGCACATGCTGTTTAAAAAAAATTGTAACTAACATTTATTATTATTAATACAAGTAATATTCATTTACAGTAATAGAGGGGCATGTTGTCACACAGGAACTTGCAATTAAACAGCCTATTTGGATTTTTAGCTACTTTTTACTTAATTTATACAGTAGCCTACAACACATGAAAATCATGTTACATCTTGCCCCAGTCTCCCCTAGATGCATTCAGCTTCAGGGATGGGTGTTTTTGGGGTGTTTCTAATGATCACAATCCCATAGCAAACCTTGAGCCTTATTATCTTTAAAAGAAGCATCTGGATGAACTCACTATGCTACTCCCTGTTTTGGGTGGTTTCTATCAGTTATTAACAGCAACTCTTAATTCCAGGTGAATTATTATAACCAGTTGCCATGATACACGAAAGAGAGCTTCTAAACATATTCACTCGCTACAGAGAATGATCCAGACAGGGAACTTTGCACCTGGCCATTTCCTGGTTACAGTTTTATGACGCTGCAAATAACCAAGATCATATTTCTCTATCAGCTCTGTTAATTATGAGCACACAAACACCTTCTTAATAACTGCAGTTTTCTTCCATAAAGCCATTTGGTGCTAGTGTGTGTTTTGATTGTCAGCTGGGATGGGTGAGTCTCTCATACACTCAAAGTTCACTCACACGCTTTCATTTAATTAATGTGTGTCAAAGGCAACAAACAACCTCTTATGAGGCTTTATAATCCATACTCTGCAGTGCTTCGAAAACACCTTCTCATTTATACCACTGGGCAGTAAGTAGCATTTTCTGTTAAAGCTAAAGTAAATTTGTTGTGTGTGTGTGTGTATGTGTGAGTGTGTGAGCAAGAGCATTTATTTATAAAAACGAATCTTTATTGTCATTTTTATTACCATAAGCAACCAGTATCATCAACAATATGTATTTTGAAATCCAGTAATACAATACAATTATATACTAGAGACCTTGAAAGTAGCCTATTTAAAGAGTAGTCTCAATTAAAAATAAATGAGGGTCAATGACAAATAAGGATGGTAAGAAATTAAAATATTTTAAAATGTAGTTTAAACAGTTAAAACTATTTAAAAATGGATTTAATGTAGCCTACTCAACTAGTTAACAAAAATGCTCTAAGAAGGTTTTTTGTTAACATTCCCATTAAGTTATAACATTATTTCTGAATATTCTCAGAACATCTAAACATTTATTTTTAAATGTTTAAAACAAAAACGTATTCATTTGAACGTTAGAGAAAACATTGAGGGAATGTTGCATTTTGTTATTTTGCTAGCATTGTGGGAATGTTACCTTGAATGTTCTCTGAACTGGAGTGGAAATAAAGTTTACATACAGTACAATAAATGAGAATACGCATTGCCGCCCTTTAATATGTATCAGAAATCCAGGCATTCCAGGCAGAGCAGCAAACATGATTCATGTACACCCACGTTATCTGTCAATCTGTCATACACACAGACACACCTGGGCATACTGGAAGCCAGGTGACTTCATACCGAACACAGATCAACCAACGTTTAGAACCAGAAGCTCAAATCCGATATTACAAGAGCTAAGAGTTTGAATCGCGGACTCAAAATAAAACACTAATCGTTTCTATCTCCTTACAGACAGACGAGACAGTATGCCGTGTAACTGCGATCCCTCGCGCTTCCTGCTCGGCGAAACTGGAGAACCAGACGGTGGATTTGGACTGTGTATCCGAGCCGATCAGAATATGGTCATCTTGGGTTCTCCTAAAGCCTCATAGAGACAACATAGCGAAGGATATAACCTACAGGATTTTGTTCTTAACCAGTTTTCGATTAATTGTCTCTTGGATACGAGAGTGAAACTGTTGCGCAATGAAGTTGACGTGGTGGATAGTCCAACTGCTCCTATTGGCCAGCGGAAGTGTGTGTTCACTGGAACGAGTCACACACAGCCCAGAAAACAACGTCATCTGTCCTCAGGTTGAATGTTCATTCATTAAACATGTTTGTTTATTACTTGTTTATTTGTATAGTTGTGATATATGTTTGGAAAAATTCATAAACAAAGGTGTCCAGTGCTCAGTGTATTACTAAAGTATATACATCATTATTATATTATATTATATTATATTATATTATATTATATTATATTATATTATATTATATTATATTATATTATATTATATTATATTATATTATATTATATTATATTATATTATATTATATTATATTATATTATATTATATTATATTATATTATATTATATTATATTATATTATATTATATTATATTATATTATATTATATTATATTATATTATATTATATTATATTATATTATATTATATTATATTATATTATATTATATTATATTATATTATATTATATTATATTATATTATATTAGTACAAAAACATCACATAGAACAAAAAAATAATAATTAAATTAAATTCAGTTATGCAATATTATTATTAGTTTAAAAATATGTATCAAATGTAAGTTTATGCCATTATAAACAAACAAAAGTCAATTTAATGTTTGATTTCAAGTGATATAATTATCAAGTAACAAGTACCAAAATACACACAAGTGTACATTTAATTTTAAGACATTTTTTCAAAGACAATATGTGAAAGATCAATGTCAGTTTGACTGAACAAAACATCTTTTCATAATTGATTTTGACACACACCTTACAGGTGCACCCTAGACACAGCATCAGTGATGTAAACTGGGGTCATTGGGTGTTTCGGGTCTTTCAACATCATACATCCTCGCCCAGGTGACCCAGCCAGGGGTGATCAGTCCCCGACTTAAGTAGCTTGTGTAGTCCACGGATCGCCACAGCCACACTTTTGATCCACAGCCATCTAGATGCCTTCTCAGCGGCATCCATGATGTTCTTGATGGCTTTATTCTTGTGCAGTCCCCTAATTCCCAAGAGCTTAAGGGCCCTGCACAATGATTGACCGGCAAACCCTCGGCATCCAACCTCAATGGGGAGGCAGCGGGTCTTCCATCACCTATTACGGCATTCTCCTTTCAACTCCATGTACTTGGTCCTTTTCCATTCAAACGCCTCTTCCATACGGTCTTCCCAGGGCACAGTCAATTCCAGTAGAACCACCTGCCTTGATGATTCTGAAAATAGGACCATGTCAGGGCTAAGCGAGGTCATGGCGATGGTATCCGAGAGTCTGAGCTGCCTTCCCAGGTCAACCTTTAGCTGCCAGTCTCGAGCTGTTGCCAGAAGTCCTCTGCTGAGTTACTGCTCCCTGGTGGTTCCTCTCCAGCCTTAACAAATGCGATTACACGCTGTGTCCCTAAGTGTGTCTTTCAGGCCCCAGGAGAAGAGGTTGGTTGGACTGGAGAGGACATCGTAGACTGATTGGATAAAGAACTGGATCCAGTATGGCTCTGCTTCCCACAACTCAGTCCACAAGATCTTTTGGTTCATGGCTTGTTCCTATCGAGTCCATGCCCCTAGTTGTCGCATCCCACCATCCTACTGATGCGTTTTTCCTCCACCCCTGCTCGGATTTCTTCTTGGACCAATTGACACTTGTCCTTTCCCCGAGCCTTGTCCTACCGAGGTTTATTGGTACAGCCAAGCCCTGCGTGTCCTGATGCCACTGTACCCACCAGCACACTGTGCCACAGCTGTGCTTCAGCCTGGTCAACTGCCTCGTACTCACCTCGATGCCAGCTGAGGAAACTTTGGTGTCAGTGGATTCTCTGTACAGCAGCACCTCTCTTGCTCGGGAAACCATGAACTCCTCCGATAGGCTACCGAAGGGGAGTTGTAGCTTGTTCTTCCTTCCGTAAAAGGCTATGCTGGTGATACTCCGAGGGAGACCCAGCCGCCTGTACGTAAAGAGTGGATGATTTTCCTCTCAAAGCCCTCGACAATAGTAGGGGGACGTCATAAACCAGCAGTGGCCAGAGGAGTTGCGGCAGAATGCCATGCTGGTAAATCCAGGCTTTGAACTTCTCTGGCAGCCCTGACTTGTCCACTGCAGCTATCCAGGCGTGCAACTCTTTTCCAGTTTCGTGGAGCGTGGCTGTGTCCCTTAGTGTGCTGTTGAAGACTTTTCCCAGGCTCTTAACTGGCTTCTCAGTGATTGATGGAATTTGCACTCCTCCAGGGGAGAAATGGAACTAATCGGTTACGTTTCCCTTCCTCACCACAAGGGATTGGGACTTAGCTGGCTTAAAGTCCATTCGGGCCCAACTGATGAGGCGTTCAAAGCCTTGGAGGATCCATCTGCAGCCTGGTACGGATGTTGTGGTCACCATAAGATTGTCCATAAACGCTCTGAAAGGGAGATGTCGCACACCTGACCGGGTAAGTGGGCCTCTGCATTCCACCTCTGCTGACTTAACTAGCATATTCATAGCTAAGGCGAACAAGATCACTGAGATTGCACCCTGTGATTATTCCTTTCTCCAGCCTAAAGATGTTATTGGTCCAGAGGTGACTCTCAAATTAAAGCAGCTATAATAGTTCAAAATGAGGTCCCTGATCTTATCTAGAACAGGATGTCGGATCAGTGAGGTTTCCACCAGAACGTGCGGGATTGACCCGTAAGCATTGGCAAGGTCGAGCCACAGCACCGCCAGATCACCGTCACCTTCTCGAGTCTCCCGGATTAACTGGGTGACAACTTCTGTGTGCTCAGTGCAGCCTGGTACTTTCGGGATACCACCTTTCTGTACAGCAGTGTCAATGTACTCATTCTGCTGGAGGAACTCCTTCATGCGTCGGACAACAATACTGAAAAATGTCTTCCCCTCCACGCTGAGGAGTGAGATGACCCTGAACTGCTCGATGTTACTTGAGTTCTCCCCTTAGGAATCCAGACACCCTCTGCATGTCTCTACTGCTGCGTCACTTTCCCCCTCCTCCGGATGACTTTGATAATTTTCCATAGTGTTTTCCATTCTTGTAAACCACGTAGGGCACTCCACTTGGACCTGGTGCTGAGTTTGTCCTAGCTGCTTTGACAACCTCCTGAACCTCTCTCAGGGTTGGGTCCTTGAGGTTAAATGCCACACAGGGTTCCATTGGGGGTTTCAACATGCTGCATGGTCCAAGGTCCTGGTCTCTTGCTCTATCGCAGTAACTGGTGCTGAGATGTTTATCAGCCTCGTCTTGAGTACAGGTGAGATGACCGCTACGCTTCTGACCGAGGAGTCTCCTGGTGAATCCGAAGGGGTTTGCGATAAACTCTGCCCATCTGCGAGCCCTCTCCTTGCTCCACTTTCTGTGCCACTCAGCTCGACGGGTGGTAGTGAGCTTACTCCTTAGGATGTTCCGAAGCTCAGCCAGTGCAGCTTTATCCTCCTCCTTTGCTTGCTTGAACTGCTTTCTAAGCACACAGAGCTCCTGCCGCAGATGTCGGATCTTCTCCTCCCGATGATTTGGTCCCACAGTACCACTAGACGAACGCTATTTTCTAGAAAGTTGTAAAAATGTCTTTTTTTTTTCTCTGAATTTTTTGACGTTTAATAAGCTAGCATTTCAGTGATTTTTTTTTTAGTGGATTAATTCAAATTAATTTTTAGTGGAGTTCTCCTGAATACATAATACATCTTTTTTCTTTTTATATATTTTAAAGACTGATAATAATTCCAAATATTTTTGAAATACAAATAATAATTGTTTTGTTTGGTACCTCTATGTATGGATATACATTTTTTTCCATAAAAAAAATTCTAAAACAGTATTTAATAAAAACTGAATTTGTAGTATTATTCTAAACGTTACGTTTTTGGTAAACAGAGTTTTAAGAATTTATAGAAATTTTGCATCCGTAATTCATGTCAAACCAAAAAAGGAAGAAAAAAAAAAGTTAATTTAAAAGCTAATACGAAAATGTGTCTAAGATAGTCTGTTTGTAACCTGGAGTATGTTTGTGTTTTTAGGCTCTAAACTGCAGGGTGAGAAATACAGATCCTATCACACCATTTGATGTGGTCTGTGGTTCTGTTTATGTGTGTTCTCTGGCCGTGAAGCCAAAACTGTGCTGTCATAAGAATGACTGCAAACCCTGTTTGTGGATCAACATCCAGCTGAGTATTATTCTAGATCTCAAAGAGGAGGAGGACAGAGATATTGAGAGATCACAATATGAAGAGGAGAGCAGTGGTGAGTTCTTACAGTAACAGCACATTACAGTTGTTGACCTAATGGTTTATGTTTACACTAACATTCTAATTTCAGGGGACTGGGATTCGGGATGTGTTTCCATGCCAAACGACACATCAGAAGGTCAAAGGGTAAGTGTTTTGAATATTCATAACAAAATGTATTTTTAAAAACTCCATCTTTAATTAAAACCTTTAACATCTTATACTTTTTGACAGGAAGAATACTCTCTTTGTGAAGGCCAGCTAGATCAAGGTAGACCAAGTGAACTTAAAAACTCAAAATATTTCTTAGCTCTTCATTTGTTTATTAGTGCTAATGTACTTAAGCAAACTGATTTTCTCAAACTGTATTTGCTTTTGCTGAAAGACAGCAGTGGATTCACCATTGTCTGTCATGCAGTGCATTAATAAAGCTCGCCTCTTTGTCTTCTCTCCATATAGCTACTATTACAATATGCTACCAACCAGCAGAAATGCAGTATGAGTGGTGCAAGAGATTAGACTTCACAGTGACTTCTACCACAAGCCGTAAACTTCTCAATGTGAGTGTCACCACCATGTCCATTTAACCCTCATGTTGTCTTCTCGCTATTTTGACCTGGAGAAGATTTTCTTTTTCTCAAAAATGCTAGTTAACGGAATAGTTCACCCAAAAATGAAAATTCTGTCATTAATTACTCACCCTCATGTTGTTCCAAACCCGTAAGACCTTCGTTCATCTTTGAAACACAAATTAAGATATTTTTGATGAAATCCAAGAGAATGAATCCACATGCGTGTGTGGTACTCTCGTGAAGGTGCATCGAAGACTGACATGGAAGAGAAGCAATTGTTGAATAAAATTGTTATTTTTGTTTTCTTTGCGCACAAAAAGTATTCTCGTAGCTTCATAAAATTGCAGTTAAACCACTGATGTCACATGGACTATTTTAACAATGTGCTAACTTACTGACTGCTCACGCAAAAAAAAGATAGATAGATAGATTTTTGAGCTGTTTCTAAAAGGCAGGAAATTTTTGACCAGGAACAGGAAGTTAGGTACAGTACTTTCCTCTCGTAAATAAGATCTATGTGAGCTGATCTGTAACTGTGCATTTTTTTACTCAAAAAAAAGAAGCTAAATTAAAAATGAGCAACATGACACTTAATTATTTATATCAGTAATGACAGTGTAATATTGGAACTTTTAACATGAATATTTTATTTTATATTTAATTTAAATATTTCTAGAATGTCTGGCAATTTAAAAGTAAACAGTGAAAAAATGCAAAGTTTCCAGACAATCCTGACTGAAGTAATGGTGAAGAAAAACCTTGTAAGTGTGAATGAAATTAGTGACTTGATTGTTTATCTTTGTGTGGTGCAGCTGACTCTGGTGGAGTATAATGATGTTGACTTTGGCAGAACAATGAAGATCACTGTTCGATCATTCACTAAGTCACCTGAAGTTGAAATAAATGAATTCCCTACATTAAAAACAGGTAGCTATTGTTTTTACTTACTCTAGATACACATATACAACAGTAGCCTATACAAGTGTAGCTTACTTATTAGTATTTAAAAGTGTATGTCTCTTACATTCACTAATTCTATTTAAAAGTAGATCTATCTGTTGTCATTATGCCATTTTCATTCACACAAGTTTAGTCTTGTTGAATCTAAATGTTATATTTTACCAAAAGATTAAAAGGGGAAGATGCAAATGCATTATATTTCAGCATAAAATGAATGAAAAGTAGTGACAGTGACATTAGTGATGCTTTCATTTACCAGTCAGTAAGCATGTTTTGTTCAAAATGCAACAATGTGCACTGTTTTTATAGAAAAAAATAAATGTTTTAAAATGTTTTTTGTCTTGGCAGTGTGTTCCTTATCACACCTCAAGGACATAGAGCAGTGCATAGGTATGTTCAGATTGATTCCATTTTAAATTTATCTCATTTTAATCTATGTTAAAAAAGCCTTCCTCATTTAAACCCAAATTTAATTATAGGTTACGTTATAGGTTCTTTGGATCAGAGATTCGGTTTCTGTGTTCAACTAGAACTTAAAAAAAAAAAAGATTTGACAGACTTCTTTGTTTGTAGGATAAAAGACCATAGTGGATGAGCAAATTTCATTTACTCCATGTTTAATTTTCATTTTTAGGTCCCAGGGTCTCCACTGAAATACAGGGGAGTGTGGTTAAGGTGCTGTTAGTCGATGAGGATGAAGGAGCTTCTGAACGCCTGTCCCTGTGTATGAAACGCGGAAGAGAAGGGAGATGCTGGGTCAGTGAACTCGCACATTATTTATGTCCATACAACACAGCCTGAAGGCTTATTACAGACAAACAGTAGACTATACAAACCAGTTTGTGCTTTTCATCAGCTACCATTTTTTGGTAACTTACCATACCTTCTCTTCTCTTAGCCCTTGCCAAGTAATAACATTCCACTGGCATCAATCACAGACTGCATGTGTTTCCAGGTACCGTGCTTTTCAAACATGCACACGCTCAAAACAATGCCTGCTAAAATCTCTCTCAGTATTATTTTAACTTGCCTTGTGTGTTTGCATGTGCTTCAGGCATGGAAAAATGTTTCAGTTCGTGCGGAAATCTGTCCTTTTGAAAAAAATACAGGTAAAACAACAATAATATTCAGAGACCCCATGACTTTAAGTAGTTTGTGATTTACTGGATAAGGATTATATTGTATGAAAAA